GCCCAGAGTGTCAAGGCTTCATCACCTGCCCTGGACCAATCAAGAGCAGTATCATTAAGTTGTGCTGCTTTCTGCTGGTTTTTTCATTTGCCCATTGCTGGAAGAAGAAGAGGACTGTGACATCATTGAACCTGGCCAGACACATGGAAAAAAGATATGTATAGATTTTTTTCTTTTTACAGCTGTGGGGATACTTCAGTGTAGGTGGGTGAACTGGCAAAACAAAGCTAGGCTTTAGGAACAAAGCAGAATCTGTCATGTTTTTAACCAGGTAATGAAGGGCAGACCCCAACTGGCTTCAGGCAATACACATATTGTACTTTGAGATACTCTGCACCAAGTCGGAACACTGTACTGTTATACATTCACTCATATATATTTTAGGATCTCTTCCCCATGGCAAGTATCTACAAAAGCCCCGTGCTCATAAACATACAGTGCTTCTTTGTCTTCGGAAGGTCCTCATCACATGCTTCCACTTTATAAGACACATTTATTTTTTAACAACTGCGGATGCGTCTTATCAAGATTAATTAGGTTTCCCGTGAACCTATGAATACTTGTCATACATTTATGGAACTAGAAGCATCATGTGTACCAAGTACTTTTGTCTTCCAATTTTAGCATAAAGAGGAAAATGAGTGTCACAACTCTCTGATTTAATCTTTTTGAGTTTTTGATTTCGTCTGTATGTGCTGATATTTGCATGGCTATATTTTTAATGTATTGTTTGCTGGACACCTGTTATTACTAGTATGTGTTCTTTATTACGTACTGATTTTCAGTTGGCATTGCTGCACATATAATTTTTCCTTTTATTTGTATGTGTGTGCTGACACTGAATCCTTACAGTTGGTCCTTACAATATGAATTTGTATCACCCATAAACTAATGACTCTCAAGCTACCCGATTGTCATTATACTTGTAGAAAATCTGATTTGCTGTGGGAGGATTAATAAAATGAGAGAGGAAAAAAAAAACACTTTTTGGAAGCTAGTGGTCAGCAAGTGATTATGACAATGAGATTGATGAGAATGAAGAACAGAGGGAAGGGAGATTTAAGAAAAGCGTTTGTGTGTGTGTGTCTGTGTGTCTGGGGGGGGGGGGGGGGGGGGGGGGGGCGGGGTGATTTCATCAGCTGCGTAGGCATTTTCCACTTTAAGTTTTTCTATAAATATGTCTTATGGATGTTGTTTTACTAGCTTAAAAACATCTAATTGAAACCAGTTGACTAAATCTCCTTGGATAAAGAAGCAGTAATAAGCAAAGGGAGTATCTTATCCTTGCAATCCAGAAATGCTTAGTGACTGGTATACTTGATGCATATGTAATCAGTTTACTTTCAGATCCTCATTTCCTCTAATACCTTAGCTTTTCTAATGTCATAGACAAGCATATTTCACTAGAGATGGAACTGTGAAAAGATTACATTATGCTTTATTTCTGTACTGCTCTTGCTTTATCTTGCACAGACTATATGTATAACATGTCCAAATATTCAGATTATCAGAATGTAATGATTAGTGTTTGTTCCATATCTTTTCTAACCTAAAATGTTAAACTAAGCTGCTGTGCTTGTTATCAATGATGATAATGAATAAAAGCTGCCAGGCCCCTTTCACATAGGCAGACTCCACCAGCGGAACCACCTGCTCAGTGCGGTATCTGTTCTCTGATCCCCACTGATACAAATGATCTTTTTAGCTATCTGTAGGGAAAATTCTTTCCAATGACCACAAGTGTGAGGAACATTTTTCCCACTGACCATCGCATAAGTTGTAGATATAATAATTTTTAGCAAGGGTTCCTTGGGACCTGAAAGGTATTTGCAAGTTCCTATGTATTGAGAAGGTTGAAAAAGGCTGTGCTAGATGGATGGGAACATCCATCTGTTTTTAGTGGATTGGATGCAGACAGGTGTAAATGGACAGATGTCCATTGTGTGAACATGTGAAATGGATCATGGACAATGGACAGTCCGATCAAGTCCACATGAAAAACGGACAGGCAGACCCAATCAGTCTACTCGTATGAAAAGGCCCTTAGTGTATAGCCCAGTGCTCCTAGTTTCTCATACTAAATCAATACTATGTTTTTAAAGTGCCTAAACCATCAAACAACAATTATCAATACACTGGGACTGTAACAATCATATACCAGTACAAATATGCTGTGCATATCATAAAAAAGAGTATTGAAGTAAGCCCTAATTGTAAATCATCATCTTTGGCAAATAACAAATCTATACTGGATGAAGGTGCGTTTCCCTATGCACCATGTGGCCAATTGATGAATCTAAAATATATAACCTTTATTCAAATATATATAAAAAATGTATGCTCAGCTGTAATTAATGCATGGAGTGAAATGTACTGTGCACAACAATACTGTATGACTGGATACTATTGCAATTATTTACCTTACGTCTAAATGGTTAACACCAGACCAAATCAAATACCATACCGTTTTAGATGAAGTGATGGCATACAAAGAGGCACTGTAGTTTGATCATAAGCCTAAAAGCTTGAATATATAATCTCTGTTAAGGAAATGGAGTTACCCCATGGACAAAACTAACTAGATCGCATAATCTATCTTGCTACAGATATGTAATGCAGGTACACTCATCCACGGGCTTAAATGTCAGCCTCTCATGGATAAGCCCCATATATCACCATATCCACTCAAAAATACCTCTCTGTCTTGAGGAATGCAAATGATGCACCGTAGAACGCAGTAAAAACCTCTCCAAAAAAATATATATTTTCATAAAAAAAAAAAAAAAGAGTCCAGCATATCATAAAAAAAGAGTCCACCCTAAAAACAATTCCTAATCTTCCAAAACAGTGTTTTTGGAAATAAAGTACCAAGAGCAAACTGTTTGAACAGTTTTCAGTTACTTCTCTGTGTCTTCCACCATTATCATTGTTTGCCACAGTGCACACCCTAAGGGATAAACACTCACCAGAGCATATATTGACCAGCTATCTATTAGTCAAAACTCACATTTTACCTGGATCCACTCTCTCTTTACTTCTTTCTCCTTCTCCAGTGTACAGCCTCTTCTTTCAGTAGCAGCCAATCAAAAATAAGAAAGAAAAGGCTTGCATGGTATAAAAATCTTTTAAACCTTTATTAAATAACAGTATAAAGAGAATTGACATTCCTATGTGCAACACTTTAGCAAACACTTTAGCAAACACATAGCAAACCATGCATCAGGAGCAGGTTTACCATTATTTCTGGTTGGAAATAATGGTAAACTAAATATGAGGACTTCACAAATTACTCCCACTTAACATGTTTCATCAAAAAAATTACTTTCTCTTAGTAGTCATATATAAAACGGTAAGATGTAACATTGGGTAAATAATAGTAACAATTTAAACACAAGTGAATCAGTTCTTAAGAAAAATAGGCCTAAAACCATTTCAATTTCCTTTCAAACTGTAGAGCTATTTTCCTAAATTTCAAAGCTTCAAGAGGAACTTTTAAAAGTAGAAAAGGATGGTTCAGTTTGAAGGTAAATAGAAGCTTACTAAGTAGGTGATACATAAATAGTATGGTGTCACAGTTCTAAATGCCATACCAGTTGCAGTGTGATATAAATGTTTCTTCTTTATTTGACTTGTTACATTGCCAATGTGGAATAAATCTTGTGGCATCTAGCGCTATTACTGATCACTGGATCAAATAATGTATATATGAAGGAAACTCAAACTCAGAGCAGGAGAAATCAACACTGATCTTTGTTACTCTATGTAGCATGATCAATATCTAGCCGTCACTAAGTTAAAATTGTCTCAGTCAGCAGCAGCAATAGATGTGGTGCCAGTACTTTAGATTTTATTTTACACACATGGATTATTTTATAGACATTTGCATCTTAATACTTTAATATGTATTGATTCTGAAGCATTATCTGGTATACTACACATAATAAAATGCTCCTTGATGTTCTTAGTGGATCTCTTTCCCTATTTGTATTGATATTCTTAGCAAGCCATTAAAACTACTCCTTAGATATTTCCATACATCTGCTAATGATGGATTGCAAATTATGAATTCACTATTTATATTATAAAATGGAAATGTATGATTATCTAATTTCATTATTTATGCTGAAAATAGAGTTGAGTTTCTTGGCAGAAATATACACTATTTTTAACATTTTAGTCAGGGCTGGATTTTCATCATGTAGCCTGTAGGCATGCAATCTTTGGTGCTGAAAGCGGCACCTCTCTACTAAGATGATTCTGCTATGTAGAACATTTAAGGCATTTACTGACCTTAACCCCTTTTACAATATTGTGACAATGTATGAATAAACTTGATTATTGATAAAAAAATAAAGTGTGTATAATAAGTATTCAGGAAAAAGAAGCCCTTTGCTTCTGCAGCCTATAGGCACAGGTCTAGTTGATGTAATAGTAAATCCAGACCTCATCTTCGAATTAAGTAGAATAGACAATTTATGTAAACATTTGTTTGTTTATCTTCTTTAGACCAAGCAACATTTTAAAGAAAAACTGTATTGGTGTTAAGTCATTTTAATTTTTTTTCCTCCCACTGGAGAGATTTGACCTTCTGTACTGGGACCATTGTCATCAAAAGAGAAAGTGAGGAGAAATAAAAATTGTTAACATTAAGAGGTCTTTGAGCCCCAGAAAATTGGAAAGTGCTATCAGCAGGGGTGCCCTGAATGTAAAGGAGAAGCTGTGAAGTGGATTCTTTGTTAATTCGATATTTATTTCTTACAGAATAGTATAAAACACTGTCAGCGTGTTTTGTGAAACTACACTGGCCACTTCCTCAGGATGGTGCATAAAACACTGATAAAAAAAACAATATATATCCATGTGTTCATACAGTGTGTGTGTGTATATATATATATATACATACAATATTTTGGCAAAAGTATTGAGACACCCCAAATCATTGGATTTAGGTGTTCCAATCACCTCCATGGTCACAGGTGTATAAAATCAAGCACCTAGGCATGCAGACTGCTTCTACAAACATTTGTGAAAGAATGGGTTGCTTTCAGGAGCTCAGTGAATTCAAGCGTGGTACCATGATAGGTTGCCACCTGTGCAATAAGTCCATCTGTGAAATTAGTTAGTGGTATTATAACAAAGTGGAAGCAACTGGGAACAACGGCAACTTAGCTATGAAGTGGTAGGCTATGTAAAATGACAGAGCAGGGTCAGCGCATGCTGAAGCGCACAGTGCACAGACGTCGCCAACTGTCTGCAGAGTCAATAGCTAAAGACATCCAAACTTCGTGTGGCCTTCAAATTAGCACAACAGTGCGTAGAGAGCTTCATGGAATGGGTTTCCATGGCTGAGCAGCTGTATCCAAGCCTTACATCCCCAAGTGCAATGCAAAGCATAAGATGTATGTGTCAGAGTACTGGAGATGGGTTCTCTGGAGTGACAAATCATTCTTCTCTGTCTGGCAATCTGATTGTTGTGTCTGAGTTTGGTGCTTGCCAGGAGAACGGTACTTGCCTGACTGCAAGGTTTGGTTGAGGGGGCATCATGGTGTGGGGTTGTTTTTCAGGGGTTAGTTGCATTGAAGGGAACTCTTAAGGTGTCAGCCTACCAAGACATTTTGGACAATTTCATGCTTCCAACGTTTTGGGAACAGTTTGGGGATGGCCCCTTCCTGTTCCAACATGACTGCGCACCAGTCCACAAAGCAAGGTCCATAAAGACATGCGTGAGCGAGTTTGAGGTGGAGGAACTTGACTGGCCTGAACAGAGTCCTGACCTCAACCCAACAGAACACTTTTGGGATGAATTAGAGTGAAGACTGTGAGCCAGGCCTTCTTGTCCAACGTCAGTGCCTGACCTCAGAAAAGCGCTTCTGGAAGAATGAGCAAACATTCCCATAGACACACTCCTAAACCTTGTAAACAGCCTTCCCAGAAGAGTTGAAGCTGTTAGATCTGCAAAGAGGGGACCAGCTCAATATTGAACCCTATGGACTAAGACTGAGATGCCATTAAGGTTCATGTGTGTGTAAAAGCAGGTGCCCCAATACTTTTGACAATATAGTATATATACATATACTGTGTGCACAATTATTAGGCAAGTGAGTATTTTGACCAAATCATCATTTTTTATGCATATTGTCCATCTCCAAGCTGTATAAACTTGAATGCTTATTGGATTTAAGCATATCAGGTTATGTGTATTTGTGTAATGAGGGAGGCTGTGGCCTAAGGAGATAAACACCCTGTATCAAGGTGTGCATATTTTATTTGGCAGCTTCTTTTCCTCAAGGAAAATGGATAAAAAAAGAGATTTATCTGACTCTGAAAAGTCAAAAATTTTAAAAAGTCTTTCAGAGGGATGCAGCACTCTTGAAATTGCTAAGATATTGGGCATGATCACAGAACCATCAAACCTTTTGTTGCAAATAGTAAACAGGGTTGCAAGAAACATATTGAGAAAAAAAGATGCAAATTAACTGTCAAAGATTTGAGAAGAATCAAACGTGAAACTACCAGGATTCCATTATCCTCCAGTGCTGTCAAATTCCAGAACTGCCTGGACTGGCAAGAAGTACAAAGTGTTCAGTGCTCAGAGACGTAACCAAGGTAAGAAACCTGAGCACCACTGAACGAGACACAAGTTGAAACGTCAAGACTGGGTCAATAAATATCTGAAGACAGATTTTGCAGAGGTTTTGTGGCCTGATGAGAGTGACACCTGACAGGCCAGATGGATGGGCACGTGGCTGGATCAGTAACGGGCACAGAGCTCCACTTTGACTCAGATGCCAGCAAGGTGGAGGTGGGGTACTGGTATGGGCTGGTATTATTAAAGATGAGTTACTTGGACCTTTTCGGGTTGAAGATGGACTCAAAGTCAACTCCCAAACCTACTATCAGTTTTTAGATGACACTTTCTTCAAGCAGTGGTACAGGAAAAAGTCTTCATCTTTCAAGAAGGCCATGATATTTATGCAGGACAATGGTACATCACATGCATTGAAATACTCCACTGTGTGGCTAGCCAGTAAAGGCCTTAAAGATGGAAGAATAGTGACATTGCCCCCTTCTTCGCCTGACCTAAACCCTGTTGAGAACCTGTGGGCCCTTCTTAAATGGGAGAGTTATGGTGAAAGGAAAACAGTACACCTCTCTGAACAGTGTCTGGGAGGCTGTGATTGCTGCTGCACAAAAAGTTGATCGTCAACAGATCAATAAACTGACAGGCTCCATGAATGGAAGGCTTATGACTGTTATTGAAAAGAAGGGTGGCTATATTGGTCACTGATTTTTTTATTTTCTTTTTAAATGTCAGAAATGTTTATTTGTAAATTTTGAGTTGTTTATTATTCTCACTTCAACAGCAGAAAATAAACAAGTGAGATGGTTACATTTTTGTTTTTCACTCAGTTGCATAATAATTCTACACACTAATAGTTGCCCAAAAATTGTGCATACATAGATATTCTCCTAAGAAAGCCAAAACCTCACTTTTACTCTCTTAAATCTACAGGTTTCAGATTTAATAACGTTTTGGATTGACTGAGAGCAATGTAGTTGTTCAATAATTAAATGAATCCTCAAAAATACAACTTGCCTAATAATTGTGCAGACAGTGTGTGTATGTATGTATATATATATATATATATATATATATATATATATATATATATATACAGTGCTCGGTATAATTGAGTACACCCCAACAGTTTTGTCAGAAAACCTTTACTTCACTTTCAGAATCAACATTTTCTAAGGGACACTATACTACCACAAATGAGGCATTGATTGCAAACACGATTTGTTAATTTGCACACACAAAAAATTATTTTTCCTAACAAATTAATTCAAGACCATGCTGCAAAAATAAATACACCCCAATGAAAGTCTTAAGTGCAAAGCTAAAATTTAGATAACAAAATCCTAATGAACAAGAATTCAACTACATGTGAGTCTAATTATTCATTAAATAAGTGTCCAGCAGACTTTGATTATTAAATGGTGTTACTTAACAAAGAAAACTCCCTCCCATTTCATGCTGTCAGCAATGGCGCCACATGGAATAAAAATGTCACAAGGCCTGAGAAAGAAAATATTTTCTTTACAGAAGAAATGTACAAGAAGATCAGCAAAGCTTTACTTATCAGTCAGAATACTGTAGCAAAAGTGATACAAAAATTTAACAAAGATGGACTGCAACCATCTCACAGAGACGTCCAGGCTGTCCACAGAAGTTAACAGCTCGACAAGAGTGTCTTCTGATAAGAAGGGTTAAAGAAAATCATCATGCAAGTTCACTGCAGTTAGCTAAAGAAGCAGAAAGCCAAACTGGGGTGATTGTTTCCTGTGACACACTGCAGAGGAATGGCATGCCTGGGTGACATCCACAAAGCAAGCCCCTCCTAAATCCCATGCACAAAAAGGCTCACTTAGAATTTGTCAGGGCTCATGCTGAAAAAGAAAGAGACTACCGGGACTCTGTACTCTAGAGTGATGAGACCGAGATAAATGTTCAGAACGGATGGCTTCAAAACTGTATAGTATCGCAAAGGTGAGGAGTACAAAGAAAAATGCATGGTGTCTACAGTGAATCATGGTGGTGGCAGTGACCTTCTGTGGGGTTGCATGAGTGCTGCTGGTGTCGGGGAGCTATATTTCATTGATGGTGTCATGAAGTCACAGATGTACTGCTCTATATTGAAACAGAAGATGCTGCCATCACTCTGTGCCCTTGGTTGTCCATGCACTTTTCCAACATGATAATGATCCAAAACACAAATCTAAAGCTACTGTTGCATTTCTGAAGAACAGGGTGAAAGTGATTCAGTGGCCAAGTATGTCTCCTGATCTGAACCCAATTGAACGCCTATGGGGAATTCCTATGGGAAATTCTGAGCATCACTCTTCATCCAGCATCCAGGCTCTAAAAGAGGTCATTCTTGAAGAATGGAAAAAGACAGATGTTGCAATATGTTGTCAACTTGTTCATTCCATGCCTAGAAGACTTGGTACGGTCCTTACAACTCGTGGAGGTCATACAGTATACTAGAGGTAGTAGATTGGAATTGGAAATTGTTCATTGAGATATTGATTAAAATCTTACTGTTCAAAAGAAGTGTACTCATTTATGCTGAGCATTGTATGTATATATATATATATATATATATATATATATATACGGTTAGCTCTCTAAACCTCCACATAAATTGTAAAGGTGTGATCAATCAGTATAATCAAGCTTTATGCATATCATTGTACTGGAAGAAAACCTCCTCCATTAGCCTATGGCTATCTAGAGTTAACAAACTCCATACTGTAGAGGAGTTAATGGCAGCAGATATAAATCTAAGGAGAAAAAAGTTAATAAAACTTGGTTCTATTGGACCATGTTTACTTATACTTCAGGGTATCGCACTCTAATGCTTGAGCCTTGAATGAAAGAAACCTTATTGTTGATCCTCTAATGAATCACTACAGCTCTCCCACAGGTCTCCGCAGATAGCCACATATATCCCTCCCCCCCTTTCCATTCTCTCCCCCTCCAATTGGGTCTCTTGGACAGAAAGTGAAAGGAAATTTCCCCAATGATAAACAGACAGGAAAAAAATATTATAAATAAATTGCAGCATTAAAAGTATTAGGGACATAAAATGTTGGCTATGCATACACTTTAACACACATCAAAGGATTCATAGAGAACGATGGACTATCTAAAAATCAAGCACAACAGTAATCAGCTTTTTTCAGGCAGGATCTCTCTCATTGAATCATCTGACTGACCCGTCCAATAAGAGATGAGCCATTCAGTTCTGTTAACCACTTGCCTTCCTGCACACTGCACAGCCATCCATAGCAGTGTGCTTACAGTGAAGCACACAAACACCGCCCCATAGTGAAACACTCCCAGCACACAGTTAACCCTTTCATCATGTTAACCCCTTCCTGCCCAGTGTCATTAGTACAGTTTCAGTGCTTTTTTTTTAGCAGTGATCACTGTATTGTCTCACTGGGGATGTCATTTACACCAAGTCAGTTCTCCCTAGTGTCAGAATGTCTGCCGCAGCCCGCTATAAGTCGCTGATTTCCACAATTACTAGTAAAAAATAAATTCCAGTATCCATACCGCCATTTGTAAACGCTCTAACTTTCACATAACCCAATTAATTTACACGTATTGGGATTTTTCGTTAGCAAAGACGAAGCAGAATACATTTTGGCCTAAAGTTATGATGAAATTTGATTTTTAAAATTTTTTTTACTGGACATGTTTAATAGCAAAAAGTCCAAATTATTGTTTTTTTTTCTCAAAATTGTCAGTCTTTTTTTTTTAAAACGCATAAAAAAAAAACGCACAGGTGATCAAATACCACCAAATGAAAGCTCAATTTGTGGGAAAAAAATGACAGAAATTTCATTTGAGTGCAGTGTTGCATGATCGCGCAATCGCAGTTAAAGTAACACAGCGCCGTAATGCAAATAATGGCCTGGTCAGCAAGGGGGGGGGGGGGGTAAATCCTCAAGAGGGCAAGTGGTTAATGTAAAATTTGCTAGACTATTAGGGTATATATAGAGGGTTAACTAAGAATAATAGCTGCAGTAGAACTAATAGCCACAGGTCAACTTTAAAACAGCATTTGGTTTTGCCAGCTACCTGAGTTTATGGAAGACAGACCCTGAAAATACTGGCTGTTAATGGTAGTTACGGCCTTTGTCAGATGCCAAGGGCTGAATCAATCACTTCTGGTGTTCTTGTTGTCTGCTCAGCATTCTGAAGAGGCACTCTAAACCACAGTGCAATCGCAATTCTTCTGCTGGCTTTCAAGTAGAGCTAGCTGCCAGCCATATAAACCCTAGCCATACTGTGAGCCGTTTTAGCTGAAATAGTAGAAAAACAAAGTCCAAGGAGTATTCCACAGAAATATTCTTTCTCGTTTGTCAGAAGAGTGAGATAGAATGTGTTAAGCATTTAGCAGGCAAAAATAACATTTAGAGTCCCCATGGGCACTTTAAAATAGTCTGCATGTGTGGAAAATATTGCGTTGTTCAATTGTGTGGTTCAGTCTTGAACATACAGAGTAAGGAAGAATCTGGACATTCAAGTACAGCAAAAGATAGTTTGGGATAGAACACTTTAACCACTTGCCTACAGGGCACTTATACCCCCTTCCTGCCCAGGCCAATTTCCAGCTTTCAGCGCTGTTGCACTTTGACAATTGCGCGGTCATGCAACACTGTACCCATATTACATTTTTATAATTTTTTTGAGACAGATAGAGATTTCTTTTGGTGGTTTTTAATCACCTCTGGGTTTTTTTTATTTTTTTGCTAAACAAACCAAAAACAACTGAAAAGTTTGAAAAAAAAAGTTTTTTCTTAGTTTTTGTTATAAAATTTTGTAAATAAGTGATTTTTCTCCTTCACTGATGTGTGCTAATGAGGCTGCAGTGATGGTCACTAATAGGCTGCTCTGATGGGCACTGATAGGTGGCACTGATGAGGAAGCACTGGTAGGTGGCACTGATGGGCATTGACAGGCATCACTAATGGGCACTGAAAGGCAGCACTCATATATGGCACTGATAGGTGGCACTGACTGTCACTGTTAGGCGGCACTGATAGGCAGCACTGACGGGCACTGATAGGTGGCACTGACTGGCAATAATAGGTGGGATTGATAGGTAACACAGAAAGGCAGCTCAGATGGGCACTGATATGTGCCATTGATGTGCACTGGTAGGCACTGATATGTGGCACTAATGTGGCACTGAGCTAAGCTGGCAGGTTGCATTGATGAGCATTGACAGCTGGCATTGATGGACACTGACAGGTGGCACTGCTGGGGCTACACTGATCATCAGTGCCCTGATGATCAGTGTAGATGTCCCCTCTGAGAAATGGCAATTACCCTTTCCCTATTTACATGCGATCAGCTGTGAATGGACACAGCTGATCACATGACCGAGCCGACGTCTTCGACTCTTTCCATTGATCGATGATCCGCACAACGCACAACCGATCGCTGCACTGCGTGCCCCCGAGCCTTGCACGCGCGGTTAAAGTGGGAGGACGTCATATGATGTTCTCCGAGAACGGGAGAACCGCCTTGCTCCCGTCATTTCCTTATATGGCGGTCGGGAGGCGGTTAAACAATAAAATACAATAATGGAATAAATGATTGTGGCTTCTATTAATATGTCAGTTAATTGCTGTTGTCTGAGATGGTTCAAAGCCTAGCAAAACATAACTATTATTAAGAAGGGCCTAATATCTATTATGCCAACCAGACAAGACAGTTGAGAAATGTCTATCTTTGATGGTGACTGCCTGTGCAGCACTCCTCCCTTGGATTGGTTCTGGAGGCACATTGTTACTGAGCTTGCAGGAACTTCTGCATATCTCTCAGTGGGCTCCATTCACAAACTGGTGTCTACCGCTTAGCATTTTTCGATAACATTTTTGGCATTCACTAAAAAATGCTTCTGATATACCACAAGGTATTTTCCGAAATGTGCAGTATTTATCTCATAAAACCATGCATATTTTATCTCATGCAATATCCAATGGGATGTGCAAAGTGGAGAAGAATTAGAAACCCTGTCAGTTTTTTTCTTCTTTTTGCCATTTGTGTCCCATTGGGGAGATTTACCTTCACTTCCTGTCCCGTAGCCAAAACATAAAGTGAGAGGAATTCCCTACATATTAAAGGAATACCAATGTCCCCATTGGTACTTATCGAGCATTTGGGGAGTTTTTGAGGTAAATACCGCACAATAGACTTCAATTAAACCGCATATAAAACTCAAGTGCTGCATTTTGCGTGTGTTTTTGATGCGTTTTGCATTTTTTGAATGCTTCGTCCTAGCACCTCCCCTTGACAACAGACTTTCCATGCTGCCTTGCAAACCAGGAAATTGGATACAAGACAAGGCAACATGGTGCAAACAGAGGTGCTCATACAGTTAATGAGGCCCAGAGCTTATCTATATAGCCCGGCAGACCTAGAGCACAAGAACAAGTCGAAGCAACAACAGGGCTGCTTGGAAATTGCCAAAGAACTCTGTTCTAACAAATGGGATTCATTCACCAAGAAACAGAAAGAAAACAAATGTAAGTACTATTTGTATTATCTGGTTTCAGTGTAGCTCGTTTGCTGTACCTTTTTTTTTAGATTCCCCAAAAAAAAAACCCACGCAAGTCCAAAATATAATGACTTTTTTTATTATTTTAATTTCTCCTAAAATAAAAAAACAGTATTTTTTTTAACATAAGAAACAGTTTTGCAAACTTAACAATGCTAATTTCACAACCTTACATAGCAGTAATTTTGTCTTCCAAACCAAGACCAAAAATATTAAATAGCGTCAAGTTGCCATGGCACCTGACCATTTGGAGACATGAAATAGGCACAGAATACATCCCTGATAGCTGCACCACTTATGCTGCAACGAGGTGCTGGTAAATCTGCACTTGCCATGTTATGGTTAATTGTGTCCTCATACTGAAATCCATCCCGTTCCCGAATAAAATTCTGCAGGGCACATGCTGCTTTAACAGCTTTTATAGCATTCTCCATGTTTAGGTGGATGGGAGGTGCAACAAATGCCATTCATTGGCAAGCATGCCAAAAACACACTTGAAAACTCTACGGGCCATAGTAAGGCCCCCTCAACATCCAAGAAGTGACTGGAAAAGGGCCTTAGCTATAAGGAAGTAAACATGCTATCTGACATCCTGTGACATTAAACCAGTGTCTTTTTCTTAATGGCCAACCAAATTGGAAAAAAAAAAAGCAAAACGCATAAAAAACGCGGGAGCAAAAACGCACTGCAAAATGTACTGCAGAAACGCAAAACGCAAACTGCATAGGTGTGAACCTGGCCTTTGCGAATGGAGTTCACTGTTCGGAGATGGGCAGAAAAGGACACCTCCTGGTACAAAAAATGTAAGCCTTGCCATCTCCACTTACATTATTTAAATATAAAAAAAAAAAAACAATTTTAGTACTTCGTGGTGTGAACAGGCCCTAAGGGTTTTTTACCCACTTTTGTTAATCAGCTGTACAGTTCCATACAATGTTCTTTGCTGCCAGGGCCCAAAGCACTATATAAACTTATAGGTTTCTGGCAAACTGTTTGAAAGTATTGTAGCACCTCAACAACTTGTATCTTGTGCTTGTTTTCTCAGACTGGCTCTGTGTGAAATGGTGGTGGGCGAGGAACCCACCCATTTGTTTCCTGACCAGAATTCAAAGCCCTAATATTGAACTCCAATTCTGCCTAGCTATCTGTCTCCTTCTGGAGTCATTGTGTCATGAACCACCAAAAACAGAGTGCAAGATAGACCCTATCTACGGCTGTTCCACAGTCCCCCACTACTCCCAATGATGTACCTGTAGGAGATCCACTTCCCTGTCTTTTTTGTGTTCCCTAATTTTCCTATATTGATCCAATATTCATATGACTGCCCATCATCCTTATATGTTACTACAATAAGGATTCTTTGGAAATGGCAGGAACTAAGACAAGAAGTGTCTTCAAACATTTTCTTCAGTGATGGCTTTACAACAGTTGACCACTGCAGACCTGTAGGGAGCTATTGATACCAAAGACCCATAGATCACAACTAACACAACCTAACTCAAGCTTACTTGTGTGTCTGTCAATTGTACAGGAGCCAAAGGGGGTTATTTAAAACTGGAGAGTGCAAAATCTGGTGCAGACCTGCATGTTAGCCAATCAGCTTCTAACCTCAGCTTGTTCCATTAAGATTTGATAATAAAACCTGGAGACTGATTAGTTTCTATACAGAGCAAGTTTAGTAAATCAACCCCAAAATGTTGTCTTAGGATCCTTTGCATATAAGAGGGATATGACCTGTGGTCTTCTGGCTTGTGTCTCTGTGAGAAAAAAAATGGAAATGAAGTTCAGTGCTGCAAACAAACATTCACATAGCTTCTTTTTGTAAATTTTAATATAAAAAAATGACATGGTCTAAATGGTTTGATTTTTCAGTCTACAGTATTGTACTTCAGTTCCATTTTTTTCTGTGTGTATAGAGTGGTGAAAGGTTTACTGCTGTATCAGTACTAGGGATGCAAACATAAAATATTACTTTACGAATATGTTCACTTTTAAAAAAAAAATAATAAATGCCCATTTTTTGCAGGTTAAAAAAATGTGCATTTATTATTATTTTTTTTTTTTTTTTTGGAGCCTGGAAAGCATTGCACCAGAGATCAGCAGATTGCTGGTGCCATGCAAGACTCCTGCAATCTGTCAGTGTATCTGTGTGCCCATACATCCTGTACTGGCAAGCAGATACAGTTTGACAGGAAGACTCAATGAACTACCACAGCGCTCAACAGCGTTGTGGTAGTTCATTGAGAACTACAAGCCGACAGCCGCAAAGAACTCTGTGAATGAATGACATGGCTATGTGGGTGGAGCCCTGCACGGCTGTGCTGTTTTCAAAAAGTGACAGCTAGTGTGGGGAACTTCTCTCTATACTGCTGTCACAGGAGGGATTGGGCACAGCTGCAGCAGTGGGAACATGTTACGTATTCTACCCTAAAAACAGAAGGAACATGTAGCATGGTCCCAAAGGTGAACTTATCCTTTAACCGCATCCCTGCCGCCCTATAGTAGAACTACTGCTACAGGGCAGCAGGGCTGTGCAAAATCATGTATATATACGTATGTGATTTGCATTCCCAGGTATGGGGCAAGAGTGCGCCGCCCTACCCGCACCGCCATTGGCGGCTACAGATGTCAATCACTGGGTCCCAGCAGGGGATTCCCTGCCAGCACCCGGCGATTGCCGAGTAACACTGACAGGGAGAGACTTGTGTGTAAACAGCACAAGTCTCTCTCCTGCCAACAAGAACATGCTGCTGTGTATTTCTATTCACAGCAGAGAAATACACAGCAGCATGTTTCCCTAGTAAAACACACACAGCACATTATGTAAAACAGCACACAGTTAACCCTTTGTTCGCCACAGATGTTAACCCCTTCCTGCCCAGTGTCATTAGTACAGTGTCAGTGCTTTTTATTAGCACTGATCACTGTCTTAGTGTCATTGGGATGTCAGTGGCAGTTAGTCAGTTCCCTCTGAGTGTCAGAATGCCTGTCACAGTCCCACAGTTCGGCTATAAGTTGCTTATCGCCACCATAACTAGTATTAAAAAAAAATTCCAGTGTATTTACCACCATTTGTAGACGCTTTAACTTTCACATAAACCAATTAATTTAAACGTATTCGGATTTTTTTTTTAGCAAAGACATGTAGCAGAATACATTTTGGCCTAAATTTATGAGGAAATTAGATTTTTTAAATTTTTTTACTGGATATGTTTTTATAGCAAAAAGTCAAAAATATTGTTTTTTTTTTTCTCAAAATTGTCGATTTTTTTTTTTGTTTATAGCGCGAAAAAAAAATAAAAAATGCACAGGAGATCAAATACCACTGAAAGAAAGCTCTATTTGTGGGAAAAAAGGACATAAATTTGATTTATGTACAGCGTTGCATGACCGTGCAATTGTCAGTTAAAATAACGCAGCGCCGTATCTCAAAAAATGGCCTGGTCAAGAAGGGGGGTAAATCCTCTGGAGGGCAAGTTTTATTGAGAAAAATAAAATTCCCTATACCGTATGCATTGTAAGGATTTTGGCCAAACTTTTTTGCTGATTCATACCTTTCTTTATTGTGAAGAAATAGCTGTTTGCTTCACTATGTCCTTTCTCAGACTGATTTCTCAATTAGGATGGAGGGGCAGCCTTCATTATAGCCACATGAGTAAAGGTAATGTTGCATTGTGGAAAACCTCAAGGTCTACATCCCTTTAGAAGATGAAAGGGCCTTAGCAAGTATATTCCCAAAAATGAAATTCCTTTTGCAGGAA